TAATTAATATATAGAATAAAAAATTATATAATGAATTTTATTAATTAATAAATTATCTTTGTTTTATCAGTTTTACGTTCTTTCATTTAACGATTTTTAAATCGATCTGATTTTGAAAAAGTTTTCACCTCAAAAAAAGCCACAGCAACGCGTGGCCGGGGCACCCTAGTATTCTATATATTTCATAATTGTTAATTATAATATTTGCGAAATAAATTATTTAATAATTATTTTTCAATAAAATAGAAACATTTTTAAATAGATAAGAAATGACACGTTTGGTAAAATAAAAAGTCCACGTACCTTCTTTCTTTATTTCGACCGTCGGTTCGTTTGAACCTTATACTTTTGTCGCATACCTACGTGCTTATCTCTGTTTATTCTTCTACTCTTCTATCGCTCCTACCTACAAAACATTTCGAGTATCGACATAATATGTGTCCACGCTTTGTAGTATGCAGTCGTACACAAACACATACATATACAACCAGGAGCGATAACTACGAAGCATAGCATAAAGAGGAGATCGAGAATAGGAAAAACTGTATAGTTATATTCCGTCTCATTCTCTCGCAGGCTCAATCCTATATGTTTGTCTCTTTTTTTCTTCTTACTAAATATGCTGGTCGTTAGAGAGCTGCCTACCGCTCCGTTACTTGACAGATCGTGTTTCAATTTTTCAAATCACTCCCTATTCTAAAGAAGTTTTCATTTCAAAAATGTTTTGAAAAAATTTTTAACGTTAATTATAAGATTTGATTAATTTATTTTGACTAACGCGTTAGTACAATTGTTACATTCCCGCGACAATAAACAAGGTTTTAAAAACCTGATATTAGCCACACTAACGCGCTCTAATGGCAAAATATCTGTCTCTCTTTTTCGAACATTTGTAATACATTACGATCGCCCTCCTGTTATCTAGGCTCCGTGGTTGATATCATCATTGTGTAACATTTGCGTACTAACACTAAGGTTAGTGATGTAACAGCAGTGTGCTTTTTCTATTGGTATGATTATCATCCAAGAGGTGCTAGTGATCACCTCTGATTGGTTGTTGGCACCAAAATGTCTAAGATATATGCTGCCATCTAGAGTTTAATATTGTAAACCTTACTTTTCCTCTTGTATGCGCACGGAGGCTAGATATAAGAAGGAGGATCAACATAGGGAATTGTACAGTCAACGCGTCTGGAAAAAAAAGGACAAATCATTTTCGAAAATGATTCGTTATGTTCGCTAATGTGTGGTTTATAACGTCATGGCGTCATAGTGTCTACTTCATATACACATACATACATTACATTACCGCGACATAGTTATAAAAACCTGACATTAGCCACACTATCGCGCTCTAGTGGCAAAAGATCTGTCCCCTCATTTTCGGACGCTTGCGATACATTACAATCGTTCTCCTTATATCTAGCCTCCGTGAGTATACGTTATAAGTAATTATAGCTAGCCGAAGCTTGTCGTAGCGATTTTAAGTTTATAGAGAAAAAGTGGAGAAAAAAAGAATTTAATTATTATAATTTCAACAATAACGTCAAAATGATGGATTATTTTGTAACCAATAATTCTTTAGCACCCGCACCTATGGGAATACAAAGTACAGCGGATGTTGTACCAGTTAAAAATGATAAAGATTAGTAGTTATAATTATATATTTTTCGATCGTTCTTCTTATATTTAGTCTTCGTGGTATTAGTATCTAATCGTCCCTTGTATTACGCCGTCACCATATCTTACATGAATTTTTAGTATATATTTATACTAGAGAGGATTTTCAAGTTACACATACTTCGTGAGAAAGAGATGTAATTTATTCTGTTCTGTTCTTTTTTTTAGTCTATTCATTACGAGTTTATCGAAAAGTATTAAATAATATTTTTGTAAATTAACTTTTCCAACTAAAATTTATTTAGATGTTGAATCTTAATACATGAAACGATCTATAATAAGTATTATAAATTCTCTTAAATAAGATATAATAAAATCCATATTTATTTGATTTATTCTTTATCATAAATATCATAAAAAGACGAAACATTAATAAATATTGCTACTTTCAAGTGTAATCCTAACAATTAGTTCTTTCTTACAATCGGAATATCATTTTGACAAAATGAGCCAAACCCAACACAAAACTCTTGTTAAAGGTAAAGTATTATAACTGTTATTAAAAAGTAACAAGACTTTTATGTTTAAATCGTAATAATGTTATTATTACTATCTTAGACATATATTTATGATTTTATATATATTTATAGGTTAGAAATATACTTATTGAAATAACCTTGTTCAACTTTTTATTTTATTAGATTTATTACCTAAGAAACAATTGAGAAATCAGAAGAAAATATCAAATGAAGAAATTACTGAACGTAATGGCAAGTATTTTATTATGTATATTATATCAGGGTCTTTCAAAGTGTGTTGATCGCGATCCCGTATGGAATCGTAGAAATTTTATCAAAACTAATAAATGATTATAAATATTTGATTTTGTCTTTAATATATGACAAAAAAATAAAAAACAAAGTTTATTTGGAAGAACCTACCACTGCAGAGAACATGAAAGAATGAATCATTAGGGTTTGTGTGTCGATTCCCTTTGAAATGAATCACTGATTCATGGATTCTTATTCTTTGAGATTAAGTAAGCGTATCGCAGCTAAAGAGAATTATTTTGAACATTTGGAATAAAATAAATAAAGCAAATAATCCTTACATGCTGACTTTTTTGAATTCTATATTTCTGGTTTAAAAGTCATTTAAAGGTTATAATGTAGTATATTGTAAAATTAATCTAAGTGACGGCTACAATAATGTATAGGGAAAAAATGCAATATCATTTAAAAAAGCAGTAATCTAAACAAAAAAATGACATTAAAAAACGTGATCTTATGATGAATATGTTCGTCCTTCAAAATAATTTTTATTTTGATGTAGACATATCTTGTAACTTTAAATCCAACAAAGATATTTAGAAGTCTGGTTAATTTTGATTTATCTTATATATACCAAAGAATTGTTTTAGAATAAAGTTTCTATATGATTTATTACCAGCAAATGTTTTAATACGTATTTTTAGTTTTTATACTTATGTCTCAGGCTTGCAAAAAAAAACCATTTATTTGGGTTATAAGGGTCGCCAAGCGAAAAAGATTAAGAAGTCTTGTATTATACTAAATAGAAGATTTCAGAGATATTTTATGTGATTAAATATTACTTTCCATAATTATGATTATATATTTCTTTTTATAGCAAACTCATAGATTAAAGTATTTTTCTTTTGTAGGTATTGATTATCCATTGGACATATGGTTTATAATATCAGAATATCTTAAACCAGAAACTATAGGAAAATTTGCTTGCATTTGTAAATCTTCTTATTATGTGACTACGACTGCAAAATTTTGGTTTCATCTATATAAGACGTACGTCTAAATATAATATCGATTTTTAGAATACTATGTTCTCATAATGATTATTATCACAGTTATTACAAGTTTGTTCCTGGTATACCAGAACGTTTGCAGCCACATTGGATGATACTACGCCATGAATTGCGTCTTTGCGTTATCAGGACATTGCATTATACTTACTTTGCTGAGAGAAGAGCATTGAGCTATATATCACGGATACAGCAAAAAGAACCACATTCTCTTGTTAAAAGGCAATGTTCTCTCATGTGGCACAAAGTATGTTGTTATTTTTATATCTCAATTAGTTTACATACTATTTATTTATTCTTTTACAAAATTACATATAAAAATATATATTTAACTTGTATAGATCTTATTAAGAATAGTAAAATAAAGTGATAAGGAAAAATAGAAAAGCATAATCATTATTTAATTATTCTAGAAAGGAACTAATCAGTGGTATTTCTTTTTTAAATTAAAAGAAATATCAGGGACATGTAATGGTACTTTAATACAACAAAATAAAAGCATGGATGATGATATTGAAACAACAAAAAAGATAAATGCAAATTCCGAAGAAAAATGTAAACTTTTACAAGTATGTTAAACTTTTTCATTAAATGCACATATTAAATTTACTCAAAGTTTGTATCTTATGTCGAATATTAATTTGAATTAAATTTAAGGTAAGATGTCTACAATATAGCAAATTACCTTTAGTAATTGGACTAATTCTACAGAAAGTATCAGTAACTTTAATGCCTGGTCTTAAATATCTGCGATTGCAGCTTGGATTTGGAACATCAGATCTTCCAAATGCATTAACTAATCAAGTTATACTTAATGATGTAATTGATTATGAAGTTTTAGATTGGTGGCATCCGCGTTATCCACATCAAGATACAATATCTTATTTATGTGATGTAGACAGAACCATACAGTTAACCTCAGATGATACCTGGGATTGATGTTACTTTTCTCTTGTAAGAAAATTTATATTTCATTTATTAATAAGTATAGTATAGATATAAGTTTAATGATTGCAATATATGCAATGAAATGTTACAAACAAAGTTTCAATTCTTATTGAATAACTTAAATGTTTACATATTTATATAAATTAATACCATACACCAATTTCTTTAATACTGATCAGTTATAGATAGTCATTTATATTTTGTTATGTATTCTTGTAAATTTTATTTTATAAAAGTATGTTGAGAAGCTATTTTTAGAATTCTCTTTGTAAATACTAAGTATTTTATCTTTAAAATGAGATAAACTTTTATTTAAATGAGGCCACAAAATAAAGAAAGCACATATTATCTATTTTTGGATTTACAATTGTGCAGTTATTTTTTGGGAAAATAATTGAATTTCATATTGGAAATCTGCTATACCAGCAATAGTCGGAAATAATAAATACTTAAACAAATACTTTTAAAGGTTTATTAAATTTTATTTGTGATATTTTTTTTTTAGTATAGCCACCTAGGCAAAGGGCATTGCGTTTATGTATTTTTTAGTTATCTGTATAAAATACTAGATACATTTATGACCATCGGAACATCGTGTTCTGTTGGCTTCAGAGAGATAGGGTAAATGCACCAATAGTTGACCGATTAAAAAATTTCAGCCATTAAATTTATTGTAAATTTAACTATAAACTAAAAAGAATTATTAGAAGTTTATATTGTCTATTAATAACTAAGTTTTAGATATATGATGTTTTTTATTTCAATTATTATCAAAATTACATGAAAATTTACTTAAAATACAGGTAACAGGAAAACACCAGTATTTGACTGGCGTGAACCAATAGTTGACCGATTAAAAAATATCAATTATTTTTCCAGCTAAAATCAGTTTTTTATACGTAATCTGTATTTTTTTGTACTCATTTCGTTTATTCACATACGAAGATATATATTATTGATAAAAATAATTTTTTAGTTTATAATAAAACGAAATAACAGTGAATAAATAATATAATCGTAAATTAAATTGTACTTCTAGTAACGACTAGAATTAAACATTCAAAGATCAAACACATACTTAAATATAAAATTATTTATAAAAATTTTTAACAAATATAAAGACTTAAATATATTTTTCTCGGTGCGAATAATTATTCTGCATCACTTTTATCTGAATATTCAAATTCTTGGATTTTTTGGATTTTTTATTTTTGAGCTTGAGTTGGAGTTTTTTTTTGTTTCTTGAAGCTCTTGTTTTATCTTTAGCTTTTCTTCATGTTTTTCCTTTTGAATTTTTTAAACAATTAATTGTGATAAAATATATTTAACAAAAATTATGTATGCAAAATTTATTAAAAATAATTTAGCTATTAAAAATAAATAAACTGTCATGTACTTTTATCTCCAACTCTCAATGTTTTTATATTTTTATAAGACAATGTTTACATATTTTTACTTACTGTAAATACTATTAAATAAACTTGGCAATCACCGTATTAAAAACAATTTATCGTAAATAAAGATGTTATTTATTATAACATTATAATTAATTTTATAATCACATTTTTTTATAATTTGTTTTTTTAAATTAATGACTAAGTATAGGTACAATAACTTTATTCAACATGAGTCCATTTAATATTGAGGTTAGGAAGCTACAAATGCGGGTGCGGTCATCTATTGAAGCTCTACCAGATCCCAGAAACTTTAGCTTGTCTGATCGACACAGTGCCATAAAATTATCGAATTATCGGGTTCTCAGTACAATTATCAAACGCACAGAAAAAAGTTTCAATCTCAAGTTTTTGACTAGGTTAACAAAGATTTTCCGGATTTCCAGATTTTTTAATGCAATTTTAACGCAAAAGTGCCAAAAGTGCAAAAAAAGTATATTTAAGTATATTTTCCTAACCGCGGTATTCATAGTCCGCTCTTATACTAAAGTTCGCCTTAAGCATGGTCTTAAGCTAGCGTTTACATTCATAGACGCAATCTTAAGATATGCTTAAGAGTTTGATCTTAGCTAAGATGTGCAATTGGATAGATATTCATAGTCATGGCTTAAGACGAACTTAAGAATGAACCATTTTCTTGAAATACGAAAAATTACTCACTAGCAGCGCTAGTAGTTCGGTAGGGATAGGCAGTCCAGTCAAAATAGCCCTGAAATCGGGTTTTTGAGCTATACGGCTGAAAAAATATGGAAATTATCAGAAAAATGCGTACAATACTGTGGGCAAAGTAAAAAAGTTCTCAACCACCGGGAAAGGGGTGAAAAAAATTAAAAACTACCCCAAAATACGATTTTTGG